ATGGTGGGCAATTACAGGTAGTCAAATATTTGATGATTTTGACAATGTTGATGTCAATGCTAAGGGAACAAGACGTAAATCAATACCGTTTGAGGTGGCAGTAGAATATGGATCAGTACAGGTTGTGAAGCACATGATTGAAAACTGCTATGTTCCAGCCAAATATGAAGGTTCCAACACAACATTACACTTTGCTGCTAGCAGAGGAAATTTGCCAGTAGTAAAATATCTTATCAGAACCAGAGGGTTTGATGTCAATGTGAAAGGTTTGCATGACTGGACTCCACTTCACTCTGCATGTCGTAATGGACAATTAGAGGTGGTAAAGTATTTGATGGAGAACGAACGTACAAATCTCGATGCTAAAGATTCAAAATATGATCAACTCCACTTGATTTAGCAACAGCATACAATACTTCTGTGGATGTAGTTAAATACATGATTGAAGATAAAAACTGCTATCGTCCAATCAAGGACATGGTGTCAACACACCACTTCATTTAGCTGCATACCAAGGAAACTTGTCAGTAGTCCGATATCTTATTGAAGAGAGAGGCTTTGATGTCAATAGAAAAGGTTTGCATGACTTGACTCCACTTCACTGTGCATGTCGTAATAGACAATTAGAGGTGGTAAAGTATTTGATGGAGAATGAAGATATCAATGTTAATGCTAAGGATTCAAAATATGGATCAACGCCACTTGATTTAGCAGCAGCATACAACAGAACTGTGGATGTTATTAAATACATGATTGAAGATAAAAAATGCTATAGTTCACCCAAGTTACATGGTTTCAACACGCCACTTCATTCAGCTGCGTACCAAGGAAACTTGTCAGTAGTTCGATATCTTGTTGAAAACATTGGGTTGAATGTCAAAGTGAGAGGTTTAGAGAACCGAATGCCACTTCATGCTGCATGTCGAGGAGGACATTTGGATGTAGTTAAGTATTTAATAGGGGAAAGTAAAATGGCTGAAGATGAATATTATGGTGAAATTCCTCTTCATTTAGCTGCTGAATATGGAACCTTGGAAATGGTTCAGTACATGGTTGATGAGAGAAATTTTGAAATGCAATTTTCAAGTGAGAAAGGATACACACCACTTCATTGTGCTGCCCGTGGTGGAAAACTGGACATTGTTAAATATCTTATTGAAAAAAAAGGTTATAACCCAAACTGTAACGGGTATTTAAGCAGAACTCCGCTTAACTCAGCATGTCATGGTGGTAAATATGATGTGGTTGAGTACCTGATAAGAGAATGTGGTGTTGATCCATCATTACGTGATGACCATGGTAATACTTCACTTCATTCTGCTGTGTATAGTGGTCAAATATCTATTGTCGAATTGTTGGTTGCTGAATTCGACAATGAGAATGATGCTTTTGATAATCATGTAAGAGATGCGGCATCTTTGGCAAAAGAAAATGGCCACAAAGACATCTTCACCTTCCTGGAAAATTCCATAAAGCTACATCAGGGTAAGTTGGTGTCATAATAGTAAGAAGCCTTTGCCCGAGAGACTTAAATCATTTTTCAAGGGGAATCCTAAGACCTATATTTCCTGCTTGTTGGGTGTGCAATGGTGCATTTCCGTGTTCACTGTCCAGTAGGAGGACATGCCACATACTGTCACAGAAGCTGCATACGCATCCTCATCCATGTGCAGTTCTCTTATAATTTGGTCACAGTTAAAGAGCTACTGGTGTATGACAAGGATGCACCCTAGCATCTTTTATGGACTCTGGGCCAGATATCCCTACATTCCATCCACTATGATAATGAGTGGATTCTCACTTTCAGAACTGCAATTTGGGAATATTAATTGCTATATAGAGGGACCCTCATGATTGTTAGAGTTTATATGTGAATCATGTGTCATTCTGTGTAATCTCTAAAATACCTCATATTTTACCTCCCTTAGATTCCCTTTAGAAAAACTCTGATGAGGAGTTTGACAACAACAAAAGCCATACGGACTGGAAAAGTGATAGCTACTGGATCATTCAGCTCCATCGTTGAGTTAAAATCTCTGCCACTGGCGGAGAAAGTCGCAGGAAAGTCTTTGAAAATTTCCTCAGACACCAAACATCGATTAATGCGAAGGCAATAATACAAGAAGTTGAAATAATTAAAAAATTGTCCCATGCAAATATTGTTGAGATAAAAAGGAGTGTGTATTCTGCCAGATAACGTTTTGCCAGTTACTTTGATTACAAAAATGAAGCATAGCCTACAAGCTTATTTTCAACATCATCCATTTTTGCCTTCAATGCAACAAAGTATTGTAATTTACAAGACACAGCTAGTGGATTAAACTACCTTCACAGTCTGGACCCTCAGTTCATTCACGGACACCTTACAGCAGAGAATATCCTACTAGATGCTAGGTTGAGAGCCAAGATTGGAGTCTTTGCTATTGAGTCCAACTTACATCACCTAAATCCAGAGTACATGCCCCTCGAAGCTGAGGAAGGTAGTGATCCAAGTCTGGATATTTTCTCGTTTGGGCATTTAGCTCTTGTCACTATTCTTCAAGAAAAAGTAGACTACTTCCTTTGCACTCTGTGAATGAAGCTGGCAAGCGCAGTAGGCAACAGGAGGTTGACAGACGAGCTAGATTCATGCAGAAAGCCAGAAAGTTGCTAGCAACGGAAAATGATGAAATATTTGTTACCATCAAACAGTGCCTCCGAAATAACCCAGCAGAGAGACCTAACATAATGCATGTTCTGGAAACACTGCATAGAGCAAGTAAGTTTATTTTTTCTTGCAGGCAAATTGTACCACTGTTTCCCTTCTTACAGATAAAGATGCCGTTACTTCTAAACCATAGATCGTTTTGAGGATGGTAAGTTATAGCTATTATATACCAAATTTTTTTCGAGATTACTACATTTTTTGTTATGTAGTGAGCACTGAACAAGCTGAATCTGTTGTTAAAGAAATGTTACAGAAGGAAGGAAAATTTAAGCAAAAAAATTTGGTTGTGGTCCTGACAGGTTTAATGGAGGTCGGTTAAAACAACACTTCTGCATCGATTGTTTGGTAAGGACCTCCCAGACAGATACAACAGTACAGGTATAGCTGAAAGGCTCTGCGAGGTCTAACACAATACCTGTGTAGTGCAGACAAAGAGTTACGACTTGTTGAATCCTCAAAGACATTTTTGACCTCGTAGCTAAGGGTCCAAATGGTGCCTTCGTAAAAAGCATTGATTCTGAAAGTTCAAAACACAACTGAAGATGAAAAACACAATGCAAAAGCAAGAGCAAAAACAGTAAACCAAGTAACAGATAGCAAGGAAAGAGACAGTACTATAATTACACATAGTACAGCCAAAGTAACTGAAGAAAGAAAAAGCAAAAGCGTAAGTGTAGCAATGACACAAATGAGTCTTAGTGAAGTCCAAAAGAAGTTAGAGAAAATTAATGGTAAAAATCGTTCATCAGAATCCAGACACATGTTATGGTGAACTGGAGCTTGCGCACATGATTGATACAGGTGGGCAGCCAGAAACTCTTGAGGTATATACTTCCTTCCTTGATTCACAATGCAGATCTTGTACTTCTCGTGGTAAACCTATCATATTGTCTTGAAGTACGCCCACTTTCCATGAACATGGCCGAAAGTTTACTAAAAAGAATCTACTAACATGTAACAAGCAAATCATTGAGCACCTTGCAAAGACAATGTCCGCAAAAACTGAGGCAAACAAGAGTGACTCAAAAATCCTTATTATTGCTACCCACAAGGATAAAGTCAGAGACTTTGATATACCAAAGAAGTTGAACGACTTAGTGCGGGGAATTTTCCCTTCTCATGCGTTATACAACGAACAAAGGTCCAAGAGTGTATTTTATGTAAATTTACTTGATCCTGATAAAGAGACCTTACCTCGAATACGCCAAAATATTTTTAAAATATGGAGGAAGATAGGATTCTATACTTGGCCCCATCATTTGTCTTGTTCGAGTATGAAGCTATGGTTCACATGAAAGAGAAAGGAGAAATTGAGGTATTGAAGTTGGAAGAATGTGTTGAAATTGGAGAAAGACTTGGTATGGAGGAAACCACAGTTAAAGCTGCCCTACTTTCATAAGAACAACATCTTCTTGTTTTTTAAAGAAATGGGCTCCGGAATTGCATTTCTTGATCCAAAACTTCTTATTCACTTTGTTAACGCTTTAGTTCGATTCAGTTATATGTATATTGATGGAAACAGAGATGGAGATGAAGATACTTTACTTCCAGTACTAACAGAATCTGAGATACAATCTCTCAGCAAAGGAATAATCACAGAGAGCCTTTTGAATAATTCATATCTAGCGGACAACTTTGTGCCTGGTCTCTTTGAAGCTAGTCATGCTATTAAAATTTTTTAAGAAGCTCTACATCATAGCCGAGCAGCCTCAAAAACCAGGTCGGGAACCAAAGTACCTTATGATGTGCTTGCTTCCACGATTATCACCAGATGAGTTTGAAACCAGGAGGAACTCTCTATTGACAATGAATCCCAAACCACTATGTCTAGACCTTGGCGTAGACCAACCCCCTGATTGGGAATTATGCTGCTCCCCTAGTGGAAGCTTTGGCAACACTATTGCTTGCCTCATGTCCAAATATTCTTGGAAAACAGTTGATTACGAAGAACCTGCGTGCTTGTATCACAATATGGCTATGCTCCGTCCAAGTCAAACGAGCTTAGAAGTAACTCTGCTTGACAAGACCCAGTATTTTGAAGTGTATGTAAATGACGCCGATGAGCAGGAGTGTGAGTTCCTTCAAGAAGAACGGAGTCAAATAGTCAGTGCAGTTAGAGAAGTCTTGGAAAAAATGCTGAAAGTTGCAGAAGGTTTTGAATGTACTTGTGGCCAAGGGAAACAACATAAACAGTATTTGACAAATGGCTCTACCAAATATTTAGAGTGTGCAATATGTGTGAATGGCTGCAAAAAATCACCAGAAAGTTTTTGGGTTAAAAAGCAAGGTATGTTTTTGCAATACATTCTACTCCACAATCTTATAACTGATTTCCACAGGTTTAACATCAGAATTGAAGAATGAAACACAGTGTGAGGATACTGGATCAGTGACAGCAAACCTAATCGGTGAGTTATCACGATCAGCCACTGGGCTGTACTGTAATCAGAGTGTCTTATTACCCTACAGACATTTATGACATATTTGATGCAAAGAGAGAAATGGCGTTGTACAGGTCGACTATGGAAGAGCTCCATGATCTACTGTAGTGACTTACGGCAAGAAAGAAACGATCGCTTGATGTCCGTGCACACCTCCGACAAATTGGAGACGTTCAGTGAAAAAATCAGCGCTTCAACTGGTTCTGGTAAGGAGATAGCGGGATGATGATGATGACACGAAAATCGTGAAGTCGCGCGTATGAGCGAAGTCTCGCGTGGAGAACTGAAGGTGCATATGAGGTCTTGGGGGACATATATAGGTAGATATGGGCCCGTAGACTATTGCTAGTGTGTTTTGAAGGCCTAGGGAGTGATTCTAACCGAGTTTTTAGTCGTTTTGTACGCGGATTTCACCCGCGTCATCCCTATATAGAGAGTCTACCGACACTCTCTAATTCCTTGTGCTGTTTCAGTTAGGCACTAGAGACTCTGTTATTGCTGGTGAGTACCACAAATGGAGAGCTTGTTGCCTACTAGAACCAAGTGTGGCATTTACGGTAGTAGTACACTACAAACAGAGAGCTACTATAATTATACAGTAAAAGAACAGTCGTTAGAGGAAAATGTGCCACTATGGCACATACTCTTCCCTATGAGGTAATTATTTCACGTGCGCGGAAGAAATTGTCAGGTGACGTTAGCATCAATGACCCACCCTATGAACAGTCCAATCAGATTGCAGAACGGCGTGGAATGTAAGTAATCAGATGCGCGGTTACGTCATAGTAATAGGAGAGCCTCCAGGCTAGGACGCTGTTGTGAGCACCGCTAAAACGGCAAAAACTTGAAAGAGGTCCTTGTTGACTTTACTGGTGCGAGCCATCGCGAAAGACAGGGTTAGTAGTGTAACGGAGCCCAAATATCATCCACTTATCCGGGTGTTATTTCTGCAAGAGGGGCACCAAACTATGGGAGGTATAATACCTATCTACCTCTTAATTACGAGCAATAAAGCGACACCTATAACCACGTCATCGGCATGCCAGTCAGTATAGTATATAGCTACGTAGTTGCTGACACTTGCCATAATTTCACTCGCTGCACCAGTTATTGTGATTTTCAGCATTCGTGATCGTAAAACTAACCAATCGTTAGTGTTTTTCTCGTAACTGGAAAGCATAGGCAATGGCTGCTCGCTCTCTTCCAGAGAAGTATGTATGCATTGATGTCGAATGCGTTGCGACTGGTCGCCGCCATGACGCCCGGTCGGTTGCCCTGGTGGCAATTGTCGATCAAGACGAACGAGTCTTATTGAAAAATAAAGTTAAACCAAGAGAAAAGGTAATGAGCTACCTGACACCATTAACCGGCCTTCGTGAAGGAGACCTGGATGATGGAGAACCGCTAGAGAGTGTACTGGCGGAAGTGAAACGTATTCTCAGTCCCGAAATTGTTCTGGTTGGACAGGGCGTCAAGAATGATGTGCAATGGCTGAAGTTGCGCGAGGGTGAACACTTTTCGTGTACAGTAGACCTCGGAGAGCTTTTCAAGGCCTACAACCATCGTTTTTCAAACTACAACTACTTTTCACTGAGCCACGAAGCCAACACTCTTCTGTACCAAGGTAACGCTTTTGATTGCTTCCACTTCTGCTAAGGACTACGCATGTTTGTCTACAGGTTTTATTTCTGACGAGCACGATCCGGTCACAGACGCAAAGGCTAGCGTTCAACTGTTTAAAAAATTTTACGCCGACAGTGCACGGCTGGAGGAAGCTAAGAAGAAACTGCTACGAAATCGTCCTCCTCCATCGTGGGTAAAGAAGAATAACTACCGCTGGGAAGGAGTTTGCATGGCGGCCTACTTTCCAGAAAAGTGCTTCTGTGGTGCTCCAACAAAAAAGACTTAAAACGACTCACCGTCAAAGTGCTATATATAAAAGTAAAAGTACTTTAGTATCCTTACTATAGTACTATAGAGCTATCGTATCTAGCTATGGTAGCTTATCTATAGACTTTGTTTTAGTGCTAGGTAAGTAGTGTATCTATTTGTGCAGTTCGCTCATGGCGACGGCTCGAGCTCAATGCGCAATAAGCGACGTCAAACAAAGGTAGAGGCAGGAGTGAAACGTTTGATCCCACTTGCGATCGCCCGCGCACGCCGCGCAACATCGGGCAACGCGCTGCGTCAAAAAGTGTTGCGACTGGTGAATAGCTACACCTCAAGCTTACCCAGGCCAAACTCTTGAAGTTAGTATGACATGTCCTGTAGCCACGTTTAATTTTAGTGGAACCCATGAACACGCTACACTAAGGGGCCAATGATTTTGTCACTCAAGAGGTTGTGCCTATCTCGGAGGTGTATTAGCATGTGTCAACAACGAGGCGAGGTAGAAACTAAGGGAAAGACAAAGCAAACAAGTCAGCTACACCAAGGACAACTCTCACAAAAGAGCTGCCCCAAACCTCAAACCACTGTCCTATGGTATACTCTCACTCAAGTTCCTTTGTAGAGAGGCCTATAATTATTATTCCTTATGATGTTTCACATGTAACGGCTGGCTGTAGAAGTGTCATCATTGGGGGGAAAGATGGTGAGCACCACAAATGGAGAGCTTGCTGCCTACTACAACCATAGAAGTGTGGCATTTACGGTAATCTAAGAGTAGTACAATACAAACAGAGAGCTACTGTATACAGTAAAAGAACAGTCGTTAGAGGAAAATGTGCCACTATGGCACGTACAGTTCCCTATGAGGTAATTATTTCACGTGCGCGGAAGAAATTGTCAGGTTACGTTAGCATCAACGACCCAACTACGTATTTGCAGTCCAATCAGAATGCAGAACGGCGTGGAATGTAATCAGATGCGCGGTTATGTCATAGTAATAGTTGTTGAAGGAGAGCCTCCTGGACGCTGTTGTGAGCACCGCTATTAAATATGGCAAAAGCTTGAAAGAGGTCCTTGTTGACTTTACTTGTGCGAGCCATCGTGAAAAACCAGGGTTAGTAGTGTAACGGAGCCCAGAGCGTTCCCCGGACCCCACCAGCTAATCAGGTAACCACCACATTCCAAGGGTACGGGTCGTTGACACCTGACTATTTCTTCCTCGTGAAATAGGCAGGCTACACCATACTAGGGTACGGGTCGTTGATACTAACGTCACCTGACTAGGAAGAGCATCGGTCAAACCTCATGAAGTGTAGCGTTATACTCCTACAGTCGGTCAAACCTCATGTTAGTATGACATGTCCAGTAGCTACGTCTAATTTTAGTGGAACGAACGCAATGATTTTGTCACTCAAGATGTCAGTGCCTCCAAGCATACGGATTTTCCCGTACTTTTACGGAAATCGCACTCCATATACGGGGAAAAATCGAAAACATACGGAAGACTCAGGAAGGCGTGGCAAATGACAAACGGGCAGGTATGGGTAAGTATATACGGGTAAAGCCACGCAAAATACGGTGAAAATTGCCGCTGGAGACGGTAGAGTCAACTACACCAAGGACAACTCTCACGAAAGAGCTGCCCCAAACCTCAAACTACTGTCCTATGGTATACTCTCACTCAAGTTCCTTTGTAGAGAGGTCTATAATTGGCGAGCGGGAGCGAGCCAACCGTTCGAGCGGAACTTATAGTACGTGTACGTCGTGTAAGTGCGCATGCGCGGCTTTGTACGCGTTTCTCTTTATCCGAAACTATTCCAAATTTTTACACATTTTCACACACGCCAATCGATCTAGCCAGCTAGAGAACTCTCCTCCATTCGACGGCATGTGCTGCAACCTTCGGTGACTGACCGAGGCTGTACATCTTATGGTTCCAAGGTGCAACTTGCAAATACGCTAGGATTGCTCGTGCACATACTGCTGCATGCCACTGCCTGGTGGACCACGATGACGAGCTGAAAGCGTAAGGTAAGTACCGTTCTGCTCACCTGCTTACCCTTCTGCCAATGTACAATACGCATGTAACAGCGACATGAGATCTGTCTTGCTTCACGAAAGGAAAGCTGTGCGCCTGACGGCACGTTATGCAGCCCGAACATCGCGGGCAAATCCCAAGTTGGGTCGCTCCCGCTCGCCAACAATGTTCAACATTTCCACTAGTATTCATTGTGATGAGACTCTATAATGTAACTGTGGCTGTAGAAGAGTCATGGTTGGGGGGAAAGATGGTGAGCACCACAAATGGAGAGCTTGCTGCCTACTATAGAAGTGTAGCGTTATACTCCTACAGTAATCTAAGAGTAGTACACTACAAACAGAGAGTATATACTAGAGTAAAAGAACAATCGTTAGAGGAAAACGTGCCACTATTTTAATGGCACGTACACTTCCAAATGAGGATGTAAGGAGTGCTGGTAGCTAAACTGGATGGCACGGGTCAAATCTCACGTGATCCGCGTATAATAAACGCCTCGAAACCCGGTGAGAATGACTTGCTAGGCCATAAAAGTACACCGGCAATTTACTGGTCCATATATAAGCCCAAATACTTTCTACGTGCCTTCAGTTCTTCACGCGAGAAATCGCTCATACGAGATTTTACGATTTTTCATTATTCTTCATCTTCTTTCTTCAGTCAACCCGCTATCTCAACAGTTTGAAGCGCTAATTTTTTCACTAAACGTCCAAGATTTTACGGAAGTGTGAACGGCCACCAAGCGATCGTTTCTTTACGGAAGCCGAGAAGGGCCGTTCCTAGCCTCGTCCCCAGGCCCCACCCGCGAGAGGAGAGGGCCTGATATCCACTGCTTGCGCATGCGCGGTATTTTCAACGTGGGTGTAGCGCAACTACGTCAAGACCAAATTCAAATGACGTACGAATAAGGATCCCATACTACGCTAGCTCACGTGGAGTATGCAAAATGTAGCTGGCTCCTGTGTGTGTCGCTTGTGCCGATCAGCTACGACCGCCAGCAATTCATTGTCGCTATTCAGCAAGAGAGGCACTGTGTGCAATTGGGGTCTGAGAATTAGCGCTCTCCTGGACATTGCTTTACCAACTAAGACGGACGGGATCTCTCCATACTTCTGTTATAAATGTTCTAGGCGAATAGGCGTAGGCTACAGACTTGATCTGTCATGAGCGATATGAGTGGAGACACTACTAAAACAAGGCTCGACTTGGCATTGATCCTGCTCAGCTTGTGGTCCATCACGAACGGCAAAACCTCGTAGCAGAGAGATTTGCCAAACCCGGTGGGCAGCCACACAAAGACATCTCTACCTTGGTAAATTGAGCGTATAGCTTTTCTTTGCTCGGGCTTCAGCGTGATGCTTGCCGCTTTACTATTAGAAGTCGGTGTACTTCAGTATTAGAGGTCGGTCTACTTTTTAGGAGGTCGGTCCGCTTTACTAGGAGGTCGGTCCATTTTACTAAGAGGACGGTCCATTTTACTAAGAGGTCGATCTACTTTACTAGTAGCGGTCGCTCAACTTCACGAAGAGGTCGGTCTATTTCACTTGAAGGTCGATCCGTTTTTGTAGGAGGTCGGTCCACATTTTACTAGGAGGTCCGCCAATATGGAACAAGAATGGGAGCAGCGGTGGTGGTTGGCGCAGGCACCTGACCACTACACTCGCCGTCAGTCCTCGACCTCTACGCTCATCCGCTGCAAGTTTTTTCTCGCGGGAGGGGCCCGCCCGTCACTCTAGTAAGGCGCGTGCGTACTCTTTTTTAACACTGATTACACGCCATACTTGCGGCATAATGAACTTTGAACCTGTGCAAAATGGCGACCATCGTAGGACCTTTTTCCTCGCCTAATTCTCGTGACAATCTAATAAAGTGGTACTTATACCAGTATCGTGCCATAGTATGCTTTCTTTTCTTTGTTCATAGGGTACGGATATCTCTTCGTCAGCAAGAGAGAGTTACAAAAATTGAACCTACGTCGACCGGAGTTAAGCCAAGTACGTCGACCGGAGTTAAGCCAAGTGCTAATAGCATCAGTAGAGTTGTATCTTTTGTTCTGGTACACGTTTTATTTTATGTTTTTCACTAACTTATTGATCAGATATGTATATACCACAGGATGAGCTACAAACCTCAGGAAGCCTCTTGGGCTATCGAATGATGTGGAAAAGGTTACAACTAAAGCACAAAATACCTGTTCCAAGGTAGGCTATTTGTGATATCAGTACCACATACCTGCCATTGTTGCTTGTGCTTGTGTGCAGAAATTTAGTGAGTCATGTGCTCTCTCAGCTGGATCCTGAAGGGTGTTTGCAACGTTGGTGCAAGAAACTTCGTCGAAGAAAATACTATAACAGAGTAAACCAAGATAACAACACATTCTTCAGTTTGCAAAGATTGAAGTGTTTTGTAGTTCTTCCCTGATTTTCCATCAGAGATTGTCTGCGGTTCTGTTTCATGCACTTGATCCAACAAGAGCTAGATCAAGTGGCACATGAATGGAATACTCATACAATACGTTCGAGCAAACACTGTTTTGTACCTGCAGGAGTACCAAATGAACTATACTTTCTTCCTGAAGTATATACAATGTTTGATGCCAACTCTTCACATGTGTCTAATCCTATATACAATGTATGTGCAGGAACGAGCAATTATGTTTGTGCCGTAAGCCACCATGATGTGCATGTGTGCAGAGATTATGCAGAGGAACCGGACCCTCCTGCATCCCTTACCCTTGAGTTTCTGCAGGCAGTGAATGAACTGATGGTACACCGTGGTCTACTCTTTCCTGACTCTATAAGAGATGCTATGTTGCTGTATGCGGAGCTTGTTTCTCTACTTGATGATTATTGATATTTTGACTCACATTATTATAACCATTATGATTTAATGATGAACCCTTGATGGGACACTTGACAATGACTATGTTCAGTGGCTAGCAGGAGAAACACAACTGCCTTGGTTGGGGATCGTAGTAGTGCCTACGGACATATATATATATATATATATAAATGAAGACAGGACGGACCCTGGAAAATATATTGTACTACTGCACAGCATGGATTTTTATGACACTCTAACCTTGGTTCGTGCCTCTAGCTGCAGAGCTGGAGGAGGAGGACGAGGAGCCCGCAAATACGCGGTCAGTGGGTCCGGTTGCAGAGCTAGAGGACAAAGACTCCGCAGAATTATTATCGCCTGCAAACGCTGAACGATCCATGACTGCGCACTCGAGAGTATAATTAACTCAACATGACATACACAATACTGCGCATGCGCAAATGAAAACAAATCACTGAAGTCCCGCAGTATGGAAAGATGGAAGGATGGAAGTTCGCGTAGAACGGAAATGGAAAGATGGAAGGATGGAAGTTCGCGTAGAACGGAAGTATAGAATGGCCCCAATGGGCTTCCGTAGTTCCATACTTCAGAGTTCTACACGAACTTCCATTCTTACACTCTTCCATTCTTCCATCTTTCCATACTGCGCAGAGGTTGAATGCGCATGTGCGCGCAGACGCTACCATTGCTCATGCGCCAACCTGTGATTACCTACGGAAGCCCAGAAGTACGGAAGCCGATAAGGGCCATTCCATACTTCCGTTCTACCATTCTGCCATTCTTCTATCCTTCATACTGCTAGGCCTGAGTAGAATGTGCACAACATATTTGTAATTATGCCTGTTAGCACTGCGCAATATTTTTTCCTATTATACTTCCACAAGTGGTAAATTATGCTTAAAAAGTTCATGATGTGAATTACACTGTTACCAACAATGAGCACTGATTAACGTTTGTTAAACTGTAACATTAGGGATGATTCTATGTAGTCTTGTATTGAACAGTCTTGTTGTGGACCGAAACTAGCTTTTAGTAGTGAAAAAACACGTTCTGAAGAAGCAGACGAGGGCTGAACCAGTACAACATTCTGTACTGCAGTAGACCAGTAAGGTAGTTCATGAGCATGTCCTTTCCACCAGTTTAACGTGTCGTAGTTTGGAGTAACGTCTTGAGCCAAAGCCAAGTAGGTTGGAAGCTCTCCCTTTAAATTGGTAAGGATGGATTGGTAGTTGAGAAAGGGAAATGCACTTAGAGAGTCAACAGCTGCTGTGTCAGTATTCATTTCAACGAGCCGGTGTGGTACAAACAGTCTTGCTGCCTTAAATGCATCTAGCACGCCCTTGAGTTGGGATGAATCACTGCAAAACTTAGACTTGAAGTAGTCGATACCTGGTTGTACACATCTGGTGGCATACTGTGTCCATTGCTGAGAAGTGTGGCCTCTAGTAGACAGACGTTGAGCTAGAGATATGACATTAGGATAGTGAGGATTGTCAATTCCAGCTTTCAGCATTTGTATCTGGTCGTAGCATTTAAAAACCAATGGACCATCGCCTTCCAGAATATAAGTTGACTTCACAAAAGGCTCTCCTGCATCTACAACCGCAGCTAACTCCATCTGTAAGAAACCCTTCTTTCTAGTATCATGCAAAAGCTCAAGCAACTTTGCTCGTGTAGTGGGAGCTAGCTACCTCATGTTTCTCCAAGAATGGAGTAACATCACCGAACTGCACAAGGATCTGATGATACACCTCCCACCTACTCCACCATCTCGTCTCACTGTACGATGCCATTGCTTTTCCTGTTTCATTCTTCCACTCAAGCCGTGTCCGCGGACTATGAGAGAACAAGCTGATCCATAAACGGGTGAACTCTTCCAGATGGGGAACATTGAAGTGCTCTCCGACGTGGTTGAGGGTATGCGAGAAGCATCCTACATCGAGTACGTTAGGGAAAAGGACCATGATAGTACGCATGGCTAAACCATTCGCTGAAGCCCTATCTCTCATAGTTGCCAAAAGACGATCCTGACTTATGCCATACTCTGTGGATGACTGAAGAATGTGGGGTCCACGGTAGTGTAAAAGAGTAAAGTAGAGTGCACCTGGAGTTGTCACTTTTTGCGTGGTTGGTGATGACATGTTCGGCCAGGGTTGGTTTGTCCAGATCAGCTGTATCACACAGAGGACATTTTGCCGGGTGAATGATCGGGATATGTAATCACAGGTGGGTGCATGCGCAGTATTATATGGAAGGACGGAAGAGTGGAAGAATGGAAGTTCATGTGGAACGTAAGAATGGAATGTCCCTTCTTGGCTTCCGTAGTTTTCGGGCAGCACAGAACTAGCTATCTAAACTGCGTTTTGTTTAGAGGGGTTGGCTCCCCGAGATGGGTGTCATATGTCTTAGCTGTGTAGTAATGACCCCTCGTTTCTTCAAGCCATCCCTATATCCCCCTTAATTTTTAAGAAACGATTTTTCCAGTAGTATCGTTATAAACCACCTGACCCCTCTGCTTGTGAGGGTGACACGCTTGAGAACCAGCGCAGAGCTTCCATGATAACATTTTGCCTAACACTAGTGCCTTATACGATCACCTGGTGGAACAAACACTACTGACAGTCACATTGAATTACTATTTAATTACTAAACCTACCCATAAAACCACCACCCTGTGCAAAGATGCCATACCTAATTTACATGTCATAATTTATGTTTTTCTATGGAAGACAATACATGGTCTCTGTCTCTATAATAATATACTGCCCTGCTGCTTCAGGTTCAGCAGCTATTTGCTACTGCTCTCAACAAGTTAGAATTCCTCTGTGGTCAGTCCTATATACAACAGGCCATGCAAAAAATTAGTGGAAAGATCACTAGAACAAAAATATTACGGGGGTGGTGTCATGTAGCTTTGTGTATAATTATTTTGCTGTGACCTCTTGTTTCTTTTTCTGTGCTTCCAGCCATCCCTGCATCCCCCTTCATTTTGAAGAAAATATTTTTCCACTTGTCATAATGTATGGCATGGGCTAATATTGATACAAATCAATGTGACGTTGCACATCATGTAACGGACGGAATCCCATCAGTATACTACGGAAGCCCATCATTGTAGTTGTAGACCATTCTACAACTGCAGTTCCATTAGCTAATTCCATTCTATTCTAAAGAATACTTCAATTCTGCAAATACCCTCCTTTGGTGGCACATTAGTAAAACTTGGCCAACCTCTATACAAGGCCACTAGAAGGGTCTGTTTTTAAGGGTAGCAGATATTAGATTACTTTCCCACTCACACTAACATAACACAACACAACACAAAGGCAAACTTCAAACCTCTGTGCTATGGCACAGTATACTCTCACTCATTATGTGACCTACAGGGCAGAGATTGGTGCTGATACTTCTGTTTGCCAGGGAACAGGTAGAATGTGTGGGACTGGACTTTGTGTAATTTCAGTATAATACTTGTGTCGTGACATACCAACAGCTTCTCTGTCACTTAGCATCCCACGGACCCCTTACAACACTAGCAATGACAACAGGGACTATAGCTTTATGTGACTCCTATATACTCAAGTTGCTGTGAAAGCCTGAAAGGACTATACCTAGCTACTACGATGCAGGAATGGTTGAGTGTTGGTCTTCACGCCAAATTAGGTGAATATCAATTTTCTAGGCAGGTGCAAGGGAAATAGCGAGGTGACTACGTGACCCCTGCTAAAGATACTGTTACACGTCATGTGACTGCAAATGCTTCTTTCATTGAGAAGTCTGCAAACATTATCCTAGGTATATACCCTGTCACTTTAGCCTTGGGACCCTTAGAGTAGAATATAACAACAGATCACTGAGGAGTGACAACTTAGATGGCAACAGACCATGCATATCGCCGAACCTATTTGCAAGACTTCTTCACGGCAATAACTATCAACCATGCTAAACATAATGGCCACGGTCACCTCGTAGTTTCAAAGTGTTAAGCCGTGGGATGGTTACGTGTTCGTGACGTTTGTTAAAGGCTAGCGCTTACGAAAAAGGTTAGCTCTATCTCAGCGTTCCACAGTCTTATTCTCAGATTGCGTCTGGGGAACAGGTTGGTCAAAGAGGTGCATGATGAGTTACCGTGTCTGAGAGGTGAGACAGACACCATATTGTTGTGTAATATAGGTCCCGTCCATTGTTCTTCTGGGTGCATGTCATGTGTATTTGTGTATGTGGTTTTTATGGATGTTTTGGGATTTGTGGATATTGGTGGTGGTTTTTTAAATTTATTTATTTCTCTATCTATCTATCTATCTATCTATGGCTGGTATGCTATGAACTATAATTTCATGCTCTAGAGGAGTGTATACTTGGTTTTGTTAGTCCCTCTGTGTCTCTGCTCTGCTTTCAATTTTTCCTTAACTGCATCTGCTCGTGTTTGAAACAATGAATTATTAATTACGAGCAATAAACAGCAATAAAGCGACACCCCTAACAACGTGATCGGCATACCAGCCAGTATAGTAGCTACGTATATAGTTGCTGACACTTGCCATAATTTCACTCGCTGCACCAGTGATTGTGGTTTTTCAGCATTCGTGATTATAAAACTAGAGTGTTTTTCTCGTAACTGCAAAGCATAGGCAATGGCTACTCGCTCTCTTCCAGAGAAGTATGTATGCATTGATGTCGAATGCGTTGCGACTGGTCGCCGCCATGACGCCCATTCGGTTGCCCTGGTGGCAATTGTCGATCAAGACGAAAGAGTCTTATTGAAAAAGAAAGTCAAACCAAGAGAAGAGGTAATGAGCTACCTGACACCATTAACGGGCCTTCGTGAAGGAGACCTGGATGATGGAGAACCGCTAGAGAGTGTACTGGCGGAAGTGAAACGTATTCTGAGTCCCGAAATTGTTCTGGTTGGACAGGGCATCAAAAATGATGTGCAATGGCTGAAGTTGCGCGAGGTTGAACACTTTTCGCGCACATTCGAGCTCGGTGAGCTTTTCAAGGCCTACAACCATCGCTTTTCACACTACAACTACTTTTCACTAAGTCACGAAGCCAATACTCTTCTACACCAAGGTAACACTTTTGATTGTTTCCACTTCAGCTAAGGACTACGCATGTTTGTCTGTACAGGTTTTATTTCTGACGAGCACGATCCGGTCACAGACGCAAAAGCTAGCG